CCACTTCCCAAGTGCTGGATTCCAGGCATGTGCCATCATGCCTGACACGCCGCCGTGAAACCTTAGCCATGAGTGTTCAAGAGAAAGGATGATGATAAATGGAGATAGGTCTTAAACAATGACAGCTGGACGAGCTAATGAGTTTTAAAAATGATTACTACACAGAGCTTACTACACATAGAGAACTAAAATGAAAGAGGACAAAAATGCTCATTGATTGAATTAGCAGTGTCTGGCACACAGGAATACATAAAGTAAGCTGGGCTTGGAAGCCTTCCGGAAGGGAAGTCGGGGAAGCAGTTTTCCTCCGGAAGTGATTCATAGTATCTACGGGCATGGTGTTTGAGCCGTTACAGTTAAACGCAGGCAAGAAAGGAGAGTAATGAAGATACTCTTTTTAGTTCCGAAGATCTTTAGTTGGTTTTGCTTATCAGTGTCCACGATATACAGTGAATACAGAGACTATAAATTTCCACACAGACTCTACAACAAGGCAGGATGATAGGGAGGAAAGTGACTCTGGAAGACCGGGGCTCCAGCCTTCACTATGCCTCTAACTGGCTGTGGGATTAGGGGCGAGCTGTTTAAGCTCTTGGTCACCTCGTCTGTAAATGTGAGGATGGACTGAGATCCAAAGGTTCCCTAAGTGATAGTGTATGGTTATTTGATGCCCATGTTACAGTGTGGGTAAAATGTTCTCAAAGGATATTTATTCACAGTCTCATCTCTGCAACTTGCAACTATATTGTCTACAGCAAGGGAATAGTAAGTTAGTGAATAAGCTAATAAGAAACTATAAAGGAAGGAGATTGTCTTGAGTTATCTGGCTGGGGTCAATGTAAATGTAACACAAGGTTTTTTTTTTTTTCCTCGAGACAGGGTATCTCTATGTAGCTTTGCACCTTTCCTGGAACTCACCCTGTATCCCAGGCTGGCCTCGAACTCACAGAGATCTGCCTGGCTCTGCCTCCCGAGTGCTGGGATTAAAGGCGTGTGTCACCACCGCCCGGCGGGTTTTTTTTTTATTTATAATTATTTTTACGTGTTTTGGTGTTTGACTTACTGTCTATGTGAGGGAGTTGGATCCATTAGAACCTGATTTACGGCCAGTTTTGAGTTGCCATGTTGGTCCTGGGAATTGAACCCGGATCCTCTGGAAAAGCAGCCAATGCTCTTGACCACTGAGCCATCTCTTCAGCCCCACAAGGGTTCTTACAGTGCACATATAGTAAGAGTCAGATTGATGTCATGTGGGGAAGACTCAACCAACCATCTTTGGCTACGAAGGTGAAGGGGCCCTGACCAAACCAGGATAGAGAAGTTATGAAAGTGTAAAAAACAAATTCTTCCCTATATCCCTCAGGAAGGAAGCCCACCCTACTGACTCCTTGATTTTGGTCCAGTGAGTACTAAGCCAGGCTTATGACCTCCAGAGCTACAATAATATTAAGTCAATCAAATGTGTGGCAAATTGTTTCAGCAGCAAGAGGAAAGTAATACCACCCACGACACATCTGTAACGAACAGAGCCAGACCCTTTTTTTTTTTTTTTTTCCGAGACAGGGTTTCTCTGTGTAGCTTTGCGCCTTTCCTGGATCTCACTCTGTAGACCAGGTTGGCCTCGAACTCACAGAGATCCGCCTGGCTCTGCCTCTCGAGTGCTAGGATTAAAGGCCTGTGCCACCACCACCTGGCCCAGACCCAATTTTATGCAGTATTCTGAATAAAAATCAGGTATTTTGTAGGAAGTAAAACAAAAACAAAAACAAAAACAAAAAAACAGATCATGAAAACTTTTTCCAAAAATCTGTGGAAATTAGTAGTCTGGGGAATAGTTTTTATTAGTTATTCACATGAAAAATAGAAACTCAGATAGTCTATAAAGAAAATGGCAAGGGAAATTGTGCATTTATACATAACGTAAGTTTTTAGGCCCCGGCTTACTTATCTATAAACTGAGGGGCTGGGACCAATAGCCCCTACACTTTCTCTGTCTCTGAATAAGGTTTTAAAATCCTGACATCATAAACGTAGCCTTCACACCCCGAGTCTGAGGAGTAATCACCGTAGACAGTACTAAGGTATTTGCAATATTTGCTGGTCAAGCTTCACAGAAGGTGCTGGACTGAGCCCGGGCTGTGCACACACACAACTGAGTAACAACCCTTCAAGTCGGTATGTTTTTGATGGAACCATTTCTAAAGTTGAGCATACTCCCCATTTTTATATAAAATGAATACCACATTTTATCTTTTGAAGAACCGTCACGAGGATTATCAGTTAGTTAGGATGGGCTCCAAGAAGACGACCCTCTATACACAGGGGTCATAGACAGAGGTCTGTCTGGCGGCTTTTTGTAGGACTTGGGAGATAGGAATGATTTTTCCCATTTCTAAAAGGTCGCTGAAAAAAAAATGTGACCTAGACCATGGATCACTTACCAAACTTAAACATTTACTATCTGGAGCTTTACAGGAAGGTGTGCTGACTTCTCTAGAGAAAGGTGCATAAGCCTCCTCACCAAGTGTCTCAAACCATATTGTCTGTCACTTAAAAAAAAAAAAATCATGTTTCTGAAAAGAAACATTTGAAATTTAGGGACAGACTTGGTGGCGTAAGCCTGTAATCCCGTTACAACAGGATAGCATGGTCAAGGCCTGCCAGAGTCACACAGTCCAAGTCTAGCATGGGGGATGTAGTGAGATTCTGTCTCAAAATAATAAAAGGTTAGGAGTGTAGGTCAGTAGTAAAGTGCTCACTTGGCATGCAAGGGACCTGGGTTCAATTCCAGTACCACACACACAAAAGTATGTAAAATTTAATTATTTGAAGTTCTCTTGCTATCGCTATACTGTATTTATTTATTTTTGGAGCTGAGGACTGAACCCAGGGCCTTGCGCTTGCTAGGCTCTACCTCTGAGCTAAATCCCCAACCCCTATTGCTACACTTTAAAAAATGATTTTTTTTTTATTTTTAATTCTGTGCACATGTGTAGGTTTGGGCACAGGAATGCAGAGCCCTTAGATGTTAGAAGGTGTGGGATCCCTGGGAGCTGGGTTACTGGTGGCTGTGATTCAGTGCTCTGAATGGTTGAGCCATACCGTCTGAGGTCTCTGTCAATCACGCTTTCCTCTACTGGTCTCCTTTCTAGTTCCATCTTTTGATGTTGAATTTGGTAATCTGACAACATATATTTATCTATCCATCTCTCCTATATGTCTAGTGTGTGTGTGTGTGTATGTGTGTGTGTGTGTGTGTGTGTGTGTGTGTGTGTACCACACATGTGGAAGGAAGTCCGTTTCTGTCCTTCCACCATAGTGGGCTCCAGGACTGAACTCAAGTCATCAGGCTTAGGATAAGCACCTTTACCCCCCAAGTTAGTGGTCACAATCTTTTTAATGTTGTGACCCTTTAATACAGTTTCTCATGTTATGGTGATCCCCAACCATAAAATTATTACTTATTTTTAAAGATTTATTAATTTATTATGTATACAGCATGTATGACTGCAGGCCAGAAGAGGGCACCAGATCTCATTACAGATGGTTGTGAGCCACCATGTGGTTGCTGGGAATTGAACTCAGGACCTCTGGAAGAGTAGTCAATGCTCTTAACCTCTGAGCCATCTCTGCAGTCCAAAATTATTTTTGTTACAATTTCATAACTGTAATTTGCTACTGTTATGAATCATAATGTAAATATCTGATATATGGACCTCCAAAGGGTCGAGACCCACAGGTTGAGAATAACTTCCCTAAGCCCTCTTGATGACCCTGATAACAATTTTTAAATATTTTATTAAGAATTTTTTTATTCATTTTACATACCAATCACAGATCCCCCTCTTCCCTCCTCCCTAAGTGATATTTTTTCTTTTTAAAGACAGGGTTTCTCTGTGTAGCCTTAGCTGTCCTGGAACTCACTCTGTAGCCCAGGCTGGCCTCGAACTCACAGAGATCCGCCTGCCTCTGCCTCCTGAGTGCTAGGATTAAAGGCGTGCACCACCAGTGCCCCAATTTGTAAATGTTTTTAGCAAGATTAAGTTGGACATGTTGGACATATGAAGACCGTGGAGCTATTTTTAAAGTAGATACAGGTAGTTTGGTGCAACCATTTGGTTACTTTGATTACACCAAGGCCTTATTTCAAGGTTTTCTGTTATCATTTGGAAAAAGGTTTAGGGACAGCTGAGGTCTTCATCATAGTAGACTTAATCATTTAAAAATGATATTAAGTTGCATTATATTAGAAATGTGATCATTAACAAACAGAAGTGGAGTGGTATGAATCTTTTTGGAGTATCTGAGTTATTTTTCTACAACATGTATACTTTCATGCTTAAAAAACTGTTTTCATAAAAAAGACGACAAATCAGTAGGCTCTTTCCTTCAATCTCTCTGATTAACTCAACTATTTTCATTTAGCATGTTTTTTCATCACTATTTGTTCATAGTTTTTTAGTGAACATAATTCTTATTTATTTTTTTTTGACTCACACTTGGGTTTATCACAAGGTTGACCCACGGTTCACTTCTACATGAAAGTAACCTGTAAACATGGGGCACTGCAGGAATGCCAGCGATCGATAGAGTTGAAAAGGTGTGTGTCTTTTTGCCTGGACGCCTTATTTCGCCCGTGTTCAAGCGAGTACTACCCAGTTGGGTCTGGTTGACAAAAAAACACTTCTTCTTGTCCTCAGAACAACCCTGTAAGGTAGGCACATTCTCAGAGGTGAGAAGGTCATGGGGCAGCCCGGACAAAAACCAGGGGCAGGTGTTTAGGGGAGGGGTGGGATGTCTTTCGGTATCAGAGCTTTCGTTCGGCGGCGCCCAGTCCCTTCCCTCGTCATTGACTTGCACAGACTCGAATTCTGCCTTCTCCACGGGAGAAGTCGCGCCGTGGAAACCTAAAAGCTCACTGCAAAGCTCCACGGTGGGTGCCCACCCAACAGGGTGGCTCGCCCTCCCGAGACCCTGCGCTGCGGCGCCCCCGCACTAACCTGACCAGGTCGGTCATGCAGGAACCCACCACCACCACCGCTGCCGCCACCTCCTCCTGCCGGGGCCTCGCGGGCTCCCCGGACGCCGCCGCCATTCCCAAGCCTGGCTTGCTCTAGCTCAACCCCGGACGCTGCCCTTTGCCCTTTGCCTGAACCCGTAACCAGGGACGCCGCGCCTTCCTCCCTAACGACGCGGGCGTGCTCCGCGCCGGGTTGGGTCGCCCACCCTAATGCCCGTGAAACCTCCCGGGCCTCCGGCCCAGTCCCGGTTCTTCTAGGACCCACGTTCCCGCCCCGCCGCACGGCGCGGGGCCGAGCCGCCACGGCGAGAGTCGGCCCGGCTCGCCAGGCTCGAGGCGGGAGCCGCGGGGAACCTTCAGGCACTACCCGGCCGCCTTCCTTCGCTTCCGGCCGGGCTCGGCGCGGGGACGCGCACGCCCGGCCGGCTCCGGAGCGAGGGGGGCGGGGGGAGCGGGACGTCCGGGGAGGGGGAGCGCGCACGCATCCGGCCCGCGGTTCGCGCGCAGGTCGGTGCGTCGGTCGGGGGCGCGCTCGGGTAACCTGTACCCCGTCTGGTCGCCGGTTACTGATCGGACTTTAAGTTCCAGGTACCTGGACCCGGGCTGGTGCGGGGAGGTTGGATCTCAGTCGCACAGGTGGCGCAGAGAGCCATGTTTGAATCTGGCCCGAGAGCTAGCCTCTTCCCCAAGAGAAGGCCCGCGTTCCAAAGATGCCCCGCTCGCCCCCAGCACGCGGATCCCCCTCAAGAACGAGCCCCCAAGACCCGAGGCTTCTCTCTCTCTCTCTCCACATATCTTGCTCCCTCATGGCCCCCGATGAAGCCCGCCCCTTTTGCGCTTAATAGGGGGGGAAACATCGTACAGTTTGGGAGAGAGGGTTGGATCCCTTTAGGTTTTCCTCAGAATGGGTGGCCATTCTTTGGCTCTGAACCGGCTCGCTCTCCCCATCCCTCCCCGATGTTGCCCCAGTGGAGAAATTGCTCCCCCGCCGTAACTTCCTTCGTGCGCCATATGACGTGAACGTGATGCAGCAGGAGGCCACCCCTTTCCGTTCCATGACGTCAACGGGGCACATGTTTCCGCGTTTGTCATCCTCCTAATTGCAAGAGCCTGGTCGGTGCTTTATACGTCTTTGTATTCCCCAGATAGCCAGCCCACCAAAAGACCTCATGTGACCCTACCTTACGGCAGCAGATTTCTATAAAAATCATAGATTTGCATTTTCCTCCTGCAATACGTCAAAATCAGGAAATACAAATTGCAAAAAACAAGCGTTCAAGAAAGGCTGGTCACCAAAAATTCCTCTCTCTCTGGGTTCTGTTATAATGGTGCCGTGTGTACAAAAGAGGGTGCGTGTGTGTGTGTGTGTGTGTGTGTGTGTGTGTGTGTGTGTTTTGTTTCCAGTCCATATCCCTGCATATTGTACCAAAAGATCATCCTTTTTTTCTTGTTTTATTCAAATTCCTGATTTGAGAGTCAGTAGAGTTTTTTCCTCTTTGTTAGAGAATTCACCCTTCACAACTGAGACATCTTAAAGCTGCACAAAACCGTGCACTGTCAAAAAATTGTATTATGTCTGCTCCGGAAATAAAGACAGAAATCCGTTCCCTCAGGTGTGATCCTAAAGTCTTGACACTTGCTGAAGTGGAATGGGTTGTCATCGTCACTGGTGTGGTTTGGCATCTGGAGTAGGTTTGTTTCTTTTGGCATTTTAGCTAGTGAATCATTCAGACTAGCATCAACACTGGGTCAGCAGTAGCCTCGCTGATCTCTAGTTGTAAAGCCATCGTGTGTATAAATTCATAACCATGTCTTCATATTTAACAAGGTGTATGCTTTAAAAATTCACCTTGCTGCTTCCTTTAGTGGCCAATGGAATTAATGCTTGAGAGGAACATAGGAATAGGGGCCTCTGAGAGAGGTCTGGATTTGGATTCTAATCCTTCTGTTTGCTCTGTGTGTGACATTAAGTAACTTGGTCTCACTGGCCTTCAGTTTTTGTATTCATAAAGTGGAAACACTAGTCATTAAGAAACTACTGTGCGGGGAGTGGATGGCTGTACAGAGGTGAGGAATAGAGAGCTGTGTGAGGTTTAGAATGTGCTAGTTTTGTTTCTCTTTCTTAAGGAAATTTGAGGTAAAATAGTAGGTACTGTGAGAAAAAAAATCATGACAAAAATCAGTTATTGTTATGAGAGATCTTTCTGTTTGCTTCTTCCAGATGACTATTTCTGTGTTTTGCCTGTGATGTAAATAAGCATCCCCTTCAGGAACTGTGACGTTGGTGGGTAGAAGTCAGGTAGGAGTGCTGCAGAATTTAGAAAGAGAAATCTTCAAGGTGATCGTGTCAGTCAGTATATTATTCAAAAAACAGTTGCCCTTCTCGTCTGGAAAATGGGAATTGGAAACCTGCCTTATACAGGTTGTGGATGGCAACACTGCATATAAAAGTGTTTTATAAGTGATGTGATGCTATAAAATGTATGTTTTTTTTATGATAGTTTACTCTTGCCTTGTGATGGCGTATTAGAATGGTATGTGGAAGTCATCTACTAAGGAGTCAGAAGAGAATCATTTGGAGACATTTGGAGACTAAAGTACGTAGTATAGAGCTTAACCACTTCAGAAATATTTCTGGGTGGCATCATGAGGTCACCATTGTATTTTTTTGAAAGCTCTCTATAGTCATCTCTTTATTACTATCTAAAACGATAAAACAAGTATTCAGTTTTGCAGAGCCTGTAAGTCTGTGGGTGCTGTAGTGTGTAGAAACCAGAACCAGAGCAGCAGGCACTCATAATTGTAACGGGGTGGAAATTAATTAGCTTTCAATGTGGGATTAACCTTCCAGTTTGAGAAAGACAATGATCATTTGAATTGACTTATTCACCTCTAAAGTAGCAGCTTTCATTTAGAAGTCTATTAGGAATGCGTGCTCTCTCTCCTCCAGCTCCATGAATATCCAAGTAGCGTGGATGTGATTTATTGCTTTTGTATTATCAAGGGTAGAGACATCTTAGTGCCTGAAAATCAAAGACTGCAAAGACTCCATTAGTTTTTGTTGCTTAGGATCGCGACAGGACTATGTTTTTATAATTTAAGTGTTAAGTACATTTTTTTTTTTTTTTGCTTCATTTGTTCCTCAGATTCTGCTGGATTCATTCCCCTCTCGTGTGTGTGTGTGTGTGTGTGTGTGTGTGTGTGTACATGGTATATATGTGTGTGTATAGCATGTATATATCTGTGCAATCTGTGCATATCCATTTGCCTTGGTGTGCACGTGTGGAGGACAGAGGTCAGTGTTGAGTACCTTCCTCTCTCGTTCTCTCCCTGACCTTGGAGTCCACCATTTTGGCCAGACTGGCTTGCCAGTGAGCCCTAGTGATCTGCCATGCTGCGACCCCCAGTGCTGGGGGTTACATGTGTGTCACAGGGCCTGGCTTTTTATGTGGTTGCTGGGGGTCTGAACTCATGTGTATTCAGCAAAGCATTTTACTCACTGAACTGTTTTCTCAGGTGCCTCCCACCCTATCAGTTTTTGAGGGTATATTCTCTCCACCCCTAAATATTTCTCCAGCTTTGCTCCCCTTATTCATGTATTTAAAATTTAATTTGATTAAATCTATTATTTGAGGCCATATTCTGAGCATAGGTCGCAAGTAATCAGTATCCATGGTCCTGACCAGTAGTTAATAAAGCTTGCTTCAAATTTGGCTAAAAAAAAAAAAATCTATCATTTGAACTTACCACTTAATTTATATATTATTAAAATGTTACTGAATACTAAGTGTATGTTAAATGCATTTGTTATCTGTGAGAATTTCGAGTTGTGGCCTTTCTTGGGGAGAGTCCATGTAAACAGGTAATTATAATCCACCAGGGAAGGACTTATTAAGAAAGGGCTGTCAGCCATAAATGATTTCTAGTAAGTAACAATTGGTTGTGTGTGCTTTAGAGTTTTGTACTTCTACGTTGTTGCCAGTAAAGCTCTTTGTCCTCATGGGGACACGGGTGGAGGGGTTCCTAACTCAGTGATGTGTGTTTTGTGTGTTACGGGGACGGGACTGTTAGGGAAGGCTTCTCCAAATCAACAAATCAGAAGAGTGGTTATGACATGAGCCATGTCCTTTAAGGTATTGCTCTAGTGGAGGATCGTCTTTGGGAAGGAGGAGGGGATTGTACTTCAGGGTTCCTTTCATTCCTGAAAAGCACAGGACTGCCCATGCCCTGAATATCTGAGCAGCAGAGATCTGGTTTCTTCTAGAAGACTAAGGGTGGAGGTGTTACCAGGTCACAGAGCACTTGCTCATACGAGAGAAATTCTGAGCACCGTGCTAGCTTCCAGGAAGCTAGTTACATCTTTATCTCTATATTGTATCTGGTACACTGATCACCTTTCTTTCTTTCTACTTTCAGTGGTGACTCATAAATCCAGTTAAAATGTCTCCAGAAATTGCCTTGAACCGAATTTCTCCAATGCTGTCCCCATTCATATCTAGCGTGGTCCGAAATGGAAAGGTGGGGCTGGATGCTACAAACTGTTTGAGAATAACAGACTTGAAGTCTGGGTATGTATCAGAGCTAACGCAACTTTACCTTTCTAGTAAACTTCTTACTGGAAATTCATGAAAATTGACCATCTCTGGTAGCTTTCAAGTCATCTCACTACCGGCTGATTCAGTTGAGTTAAAAAAATGTTTGTGTGTGTGTGTGTGTGTGTGTGTGTGTGCGCGCGCGCGCGCGCGCGCGCTGAGGATTGAACTCAGGGTCTCACACATGCTAGAGAAGAACTTGACCACAGAGTTACATGCTAGTCCCCGATTCATTTGGTTTTGTTTAATTCTTGACACTTCATGCTTTGTGTGAGTGTGTTCACATGTGGGCATTAAGGGCCATTTATTTCTACTGTTCATGTTCTAATATTCATGTGTTTCTTTCTGGCTTATCTCTTTGGGTTTTAGCACGTGGGTTTTTCCTTCACTGGCTTGCTTTCTTGTTGACTGCAATCTGACATACACTGTAAGAACTGGGTGTAGAGATGCTGTGTCTGACATCATTTGATAATCTCCCTTAATACAAAAATTACAATAGCTAGCCAGAATGAGTCATTCTTCATAATGGGGTCGA